AACTGTTTTTCTGTAGTTGCCAAAAACAGAACTTAGAGACAATTGGCTTCAAAATTAAACTGAATTCAATTTTGTTCTAATTTAAAAAATTACCAGATTCTGGTAATGTTACTCAAATGAAGTAAATCTAGACCCACGTAGAATTTTTCTGTGATATGAAAAACAGGTTGTTGAATTCTACGTGTGTTTCTCCAGATCTCTAACTTCTTGTGCATTCCTTGACTTGCTAGTCATTCTGTTCCTGGTTTTATAAAAGTCCAGTTGATGGTTCTGGCGCAGTTAGTGTCCAGTTATTGCTCTTTTTTGTTGTTGCTGTTCGTCCAAAACTCTACCACCTGAATCTTTACCCACACAAAACTTCACATGCCTGCCATCACTCACCCTCATCAAGCTCCATTGGCTTTCCATCACCCAATGGATTGAGTTCACTCACCTGCAAATCCTTTCATGTTCTTGAACCTCCCTACCTCAGTGATCTTCTCCAGTCTAACTTTTCTGCTCGCCTCCTCTGCTTGGCAAAGTCAGGTCTGCTGCGCTTCCCTTGCCCCACTCCACCCCACCATGAGTAGCCGAGCCTTTAGACACTATGCCTTCACTCTCTGGAACTCCCTTGCTTAACAACAACAACTATAAGCATTTATATAGCGCCGCTCATGCAGGGTAGAGTCCAGCAGTCCTTAACACCTCCATCACCCTTTCTCTATCTGTCTTCAAAAGTCCCTAAAAACCTTCCTCTTCAACCACAACTAGTAACCTTCTGCAGCGGACTGGCTGTATGGGAATTTGGGAAATTTCCCGAGCATCCTTGTGATTGCCTCTGGAGTGCCTCCACAAATCAATGCCCTTATTTTACATCAGATTCCTGAAGCCTGTTGGGAAACCAGTCGCTGCTGGTAACTTTCCTCTTCCTTCAAGGCTCCCCACCACTGCGCGTCAAACACCATATAAAATGTAAAATGTTATCCCATAAAAATGCAAGTTACTGCTATTGTTTGTCAAGTAACCAGCTGCAACCGGCTTTCTTTCCAAACATTTGTTGATGTTCTTCCTCTATAAAATCAAGTATGCTCGTGAATGCTGCTCATTTTGTAAAATGTTTACTATTTTTGTGATAGTTTAAAAGTTTAATTCTTGTTTATTTTAATTTAATTTTAATTTACGTAGCATGTAAGTTTACAGAATTTAGTACACGAGAGGTAGGGAGTTGTGAGGGATTCACTGCTCCAATGTACTGCCTCACTATACCATAATCATATCTGTAAAACAGATTATTTTATGGATATGGTTATGATATAGTATTACTCGTTTTTTAATTGGTTTAAAATTGTCAGGATAATAATAATCTCTGGAGGTGAATATCCAGTGGATGAGCCTTAACACGATAAATAAATAATTGTTAATCCATCATTTTAGCGTTTTTTAAAAAAAGACTCGAATTACTAATTATATGTTTGAATTATAAGTCGACCCTTAGTAACTACTTCTGCTGATATCCATTCCGAAAATTATAAACCTGAGCTATTTATTGTCATTGATTCTGCAATAAACAATCCCATAATGTACATTTTGTTTCAAATTGAGCAAGCCAACTCCTGTAGTAAAATGTAGTCAATGTGTACAAACCTGGATTCTGCCACTCTATGGTGCTGGACAGTCACTGCTTCAATATACTGCTCCACTGTATACTGTTTCTTTATTTCCATTCCTAGGTTATTAATTCAGGAATAAATATCCTATATCATCTGCAAGTTTGATATTATGCACATCCCACCCTTGGAGTAAAATGGAATGGCTGGTTCCATCAGTGGCTGAGCAAGTTTATTCAGTGCATAGCTGAGCCATACAAAATGGAAAGATTCCAAGGTTAGGGTCTTAACAACACCACAACAATCTCTATATGATCAATATCTGGCTCCCAGCCTTTTGACTAAGACCGAGTGTAGATTTAACGGCACTTGGTTACGGATACTGATGCTATGGAGGGAGGTACTCTTGATTTTGTGTGTGTTTGAAGGGGTTTTACCCCCTCCCTCAGTTCAAATTGGTCAAATCTCAAAAAATCTCCCAAAGCGCAGGTGCCTTGACCTGGTCCATACCCCAGCGTCTAGGACACTCCCATGACCCTGTGCAAATTCCCATCCTTCAAACCACCAAAAGTACCATTGGTTCCATTTATAATGGCGTCATGATCTGCCACATGATCATTCTGCAAGGTGGACATCCATAACCCAAAACAGTTCAATCTACACACCTGGTCTTCCGACAGTTTGGATACTCAAGCATGGTGACATGACTTAAGTTTCCACGTGTGTCAGACACCCGGCTGACCCCCCCACCCCCAAAATGCTGGCGAGGACAGATGCAGGACAGCTCCATTCATTCCCCCTCCCCCCTCCCCATCCTGAGGCTGAAGAGTCAGAGCTCACACACTGTCTGGAGATCACACGTGAATATGAATAACAGCCACTTGTTGGGCGTTGGAGGCAATTGCACCACAGAAGGAGAAAGTGTCAAAATGCCTTTGAGAGAGAAGGCAGCGAGAAGAGAGTGGAATCACTTCTCTTTATAAACCAGGAGTGAATGGTTTGATGGGGAGTCACCTCACAAGCAGAAAGAAGGACAGTTTGAATAAAGTAATTGAATACTTTTGCTCGCATCGTCGTTTTGTTTCGGAGACGATCATTTGACAACAACAACAACAAGATTCCATTTATAGAGCGCCTTTCACATCAGGAGGACGTCCCAAGGCGCTGGGAAAACAGAAGCTCCCGGGACACGTTCAGTCTCCAATGGATCTATCCATGGGATAAAGATAAAAATAATTGTGTGTTTGTGGGGTGGGGGGGGATACATTATATGAGATTGTGTAAAACTGATATAAAGTTTATTTTAGCAAGGAACAAATGCGTGTTGTCGAACAAAAGATTGATATATATTCATATATAAAATAACATTTTATTTTATCTATTTTATTTGATACATTTTTGATGTATAGGTTGATATATTCATAAAAAAAAATTATTTTATCTATTTCATTTGATATATTTTTGACGTATAGGTTGATATATTCATGTATAAAATAACATTTTGTTTTTCAGATTTCATTTTACATTATATATTTTATTTGTTGTGGAATAAATAAAAGGTGGATCTTACATACGTTCAGACAGATTTTTTTTTAATGTACAGTATAATACAATATATCAATGTGACTTTTGGCAGGTTTGGTGAGGGTGAGGATGACTGACTGAGTGGTGGTGGTGTGTGTGACACAAGGTGTGGAGGTGAGCTCTGTGTGTCTATGTCTGTCTGTCTGTGTCTGTGTGTGTCTGTCTGTGTCTGTCTGTCTGTGTCTGTGTGTGTGTGTGTGGGGGGGGG